AAAACACCAGGACCAGATGGGCTACCGGCAGAGTTGTATAAATGTCTACAAGATACACTAAGCGCACCGTTGAAAGATGTGTGTAATGAACTTTTGTTGGAGGCTAAACTCCCAAATACATGGACAGAAGCAAATATTACTTTAATACCAAAAGAAGACTCAGATTTGACACAGATAAAAAATTACAGACCGATATCATTACTAAATGTGGACTATAAAATTTTTACTTCAATAATAGCTGAGAGACTGGAAAGATTTCTAACTGAATTTATACATCCAGATCAAAATGGATTTCTACCAAAGAGAAAAATAAAAAACAACTTAAGAGTTATAATGGACATATTGGAATAATATGAAATGCATCCAGGGAAACAATTGGTACTAGTATTTCTAGATGCTCAAAAGGCATTTGATAATGTTTCCTGGCAATTTATGACTCAACAACTAAAAACAATGGACTTTGGACAAAACTTTATGAATATGATTGAAACAATATACCACAAACAAACAGCAAAAGTGATTGTAAATGGAGATTACACAGAAAACTTTGATATAAGAAAAGGCACAAGACAAGGATGCCCACTATCTCCATTGTTATTTATCCTAACTTTGGAAGTTTTAAATAGAAATATTACACAAGACACAGAAATTAAAGGACTAGAAATAAAAGGTGAAACTTATAAACTACAAGCATTTGCAGGTGAATGCTTGTAGTTTCATAGATGGCACTTGCCACCAGGAAGATTAGCAAAAATGTTTAAAAACATGTCAGATAGATGTTGGAAATGTAAACACAAGTCAGGTACTTATTATCATGTATGGTGGACATGTGTTAAAGCAAAGAGGTATTGGACAAAAATACATACTTGGCTAGAAAAGATGTTGGGAAAACATGTAGATTTTAAACCTGAACTTTTTTTTATTAGTATAATCCCATAAAAGATTGATAAACAAAGTATATACTTGATTCTACATGTGATAACAGCGGCAAGAATCATATTCGCACAATACTGGAAAAATGAAGAAATACCACAAGAAGAAATAATTAAAAAAATACTAGAATGTGCGAAAATGGACAGACTTACTTTGAGGTTGAAAGAAAAAAAAGAAACAGAATACTATCAAACTTGGGACTTATTTTGGGGGCTTCCGGTGGCGAGGCTTTGCCGATGGAGGCTTTCTTTTCAGCCTCCTGCCCGGGACTGCATCAGAGCTGTCAAAACAGTGCGGATCAGCTGTTTTGCGGCTTGGAACTCCCTCCCCGGGCAAAGGGGAGAGAGTGAGTTTGGTTCAGATAGGGGTTGAGTTCCCTAGTCCCCCCAGGAGTGATCCTGGGGGGATGAAGGTGAGAACTCCCCCGGAGTCTGGACCTCTTCTCCGCAGCTCAGAGTGTCTTCGCTCTTCGGAGCGAGGCTAGACGTCGCTGCCACTGCTGCTACTTTGTTTCTGCTTGTGAGTAACTTTTGAACAGACGGAACCTGACAGGGGATTTCTTTTTTCTCTGCTTTAGTTAAATGGTGACTTTAACTCAAAGATTTTATTGGGATTTTCGCTATTTGTTATAAGTGAAAGTGAGAAGAAAATGGCCGCGGAAGCGCTGTTTCTTTGTAACAAAAGGAAAACTTTCACTTTCTTACCGGTGGTGGAATGATGCATTTTAAAGGATTTTAAAGAACTTTTCTTAAGTCAAGCTTTTTTAAGCTAATTTTTGCTTTTGTGAGTTTTAAAAATAATTTGGCAGAATGGCT